ACACTCCGCTTCTTCCAACCAGTCCCAGAGTCGGCAAATAATGCACGACGTGGAATTCTCTGGGACGACATTCGTAGAACTTGTCCAAGCCACCGAAGTAGGTGTTTCAAGATGGTGACACTAATTACATTATCGTCTCTGTGCCCAAACACACGATGCCGAACATGGTGTTGCCACTGGATGTGAGCAATCCTTCGGAGACAACGATGATCGAACACAGAGAGTCGTCCAACATCCCCAACTCGGAGGCCAGGTTTTCTTAGGGGGCCACACCCCGAGCCTTTGACCTAAAGGTCTGACCCACAAGGCAGTGGAGTATCGTGAGGAGATGCAGTCTCATGGTAGCCAATGACCAACAATTGGTTCATACGCCATGTGTTCCCGCAGGATACTGAAGCCCATGTGCACCATTAATTTGGGATCCGGTTAAAGCGCCGGACATTCACTTTTCGTCCTCTCATTTTCATAAACAACACCCCCGCCACGAGAAGTCAGTGAGCAGGACTTCCCTGGCAGAGGCTGTACACACGTGGCCGTGTGAGAGCATTTCGAGAGCGAAGGTGGGCCCACCCCACTCTCGGCCATACCAGGGCATTTAGGGAACAGCATCAATGTGTGCATATACATTTAACAGGTATGCATTACATAGGATGAATTGGACATATTGCATTACAAAATAGTCATAATGAATCAGTTCGTATGGAGTTTGCATATTACCGAAAAAAAGATTGATCAAAATTCAATATTGAATATTTACAATAGGACAATTCATTTTGATTATTAATGATATAATACATCTTATTAGTTCTGTACTTTTCCCTCTTATAAAACATTACTGATTCATTCACGTTTTGCTATTCTATTTTACAATTTCTTTGATAAATAAAGACCTGCTGGTTGGGATAGTTTACATCGATTAGAATTATTCAAAAAAAATTTATCATCAAATTTAATTGATTGTAATTATAATCAGATTATTACGAAACCATCGAAATTAAGAAGAAAAACATCATGTGGTATGTTTTCTATTCATACTGTATTCATTAATCATGTAATTGATACTTGAGCACAGAAGTTATCCAGATTCATTTCCTCTATAATCCTCATTATTGTTAAACTACTTCAAAGTGATCACATTTTTTTCTTTAGTTTTCAATAGTACTATAACTAGTAATCGATCCACAGATGAAATTGGTCTAGTGGTTAAGTGCTCGCGCGCGAAACCAGTAGGTCCTGGGTTCGAGCCTCGCAGGGGGTGTGGTCGTGGATGCGCACTGCTGAGGAGTCCCACAATAGGACGAAACGGCCGTCCGGCGATTCCAGGTTTTCCATGGTGGTCTAGATTGAACTGACTCATGATCTTAACCATTGAAATTACTATAATATTCACAAAACACATCTGGTAAAAGAAAGTCGGAAAGCTGTTGAACTATGAAAAACCTCTAGACACTTATATCGTTTTTGAAGTTTAAATGGGTTATTTAGTTACAAAATTGAAAGTATAATGTTAAATGGATATACTAACATCTTAGGAAACAACAAATTTAGCCGATTTAGTCTTTTTCGTCCTAAAATCCTGTGAAGTAATTCGTAGACATTACAATACTTGTAAAAATGTTTCATGTTTATTAAGAGTCATTAGGTAATTCTGTTTCAAATCGGAAGGACATCTAATGATCGACATTAAGAAGTCTGGGTCACGAATTTATTTAGCCATTCGAAAAATATAAAATCCCTTGGACAGGTAGACATAACATTGGTCACTACTTCAAGATCATTCGATGTAAAATATACCAGTCGTACAGGAAATCACTTGTCAGTATCACATGTTCGAACCCTAATGGGAATTTTAGTTCGCTCGAGATTATAGACATATCTTGCCGATAAGCACCAATCAATACTAAATCTCAATCTAGAGACTCATACCGACTACCTTAAACTACATAACATCAGGATATATATAGACGCTTAATAACTGGAGACATCTTCCAGCACATAAATGTATGTCAAACAGTTAGAAGGTAATTTAGAGGTGTCCTATTACATAAAAAGTCATTTAAATAAAACAAATTTTAATGAAGCGACATCTTTAATCTTTTGATACAGTTACAAAAACAGGTGGAATAGATACCAATCCTTCAGAAGAAGTGAATATTTTACAAACTGTTGAAGATGATCAACACTTTTTAAAACGAATGCAAACAATATTAGCTAATATGCCTATGTCGACAGTTACGAGTTCATTACCAGGTAGTTTAAGTGGTACAACGACATCGATTAGTTCAACAATAAGTAATCAAACAAGAGAAACTCCAGTAAGTTACAATAACATTTTAACTATTCGATTCTATTGTATAAAAATATTTGGTTATTAGAATGATTTAACAAAAAATCCTCAGAATTGATTTAATGCCATAAGAGCGTGTTTATTAAGCTAATTAAACAGATCTTATTGTTATTTTATTCTTGTAACCTTCATAAATTATCACTCTATTCTTATTTCCACTGAAATAATGAGCCGATCAATGTTAGACCATCATTCAAAACCTAGATGCATTAGACGGCCGTTTCGTTCCAGCATGGGACTTCTCAGTAGTGCGAATCCACGATCACACAAGAAGGAATAAAACCCAGGACATTCGGTATTGACAGCGAACGCTTGAAATCCAGACCACTCAACTGAAACACAACGATGAAACTCGTCAATCTCCCCAATACTGTACTGACAATTATCATGTGTTCACTAATGACTAGATTCGAGAGGGAATACTCAGAGTTCTAGTGAGAAGCCGTGACCAGTGTAATTGACCTGTGTCAGTGGTGAGGCAGTTACTCACTGAAGACAATGGAAGATGGTTGCGCAATATCGGTATCGTCGACGTTCACTGTCGGGGAGTACGATATTTGAATGAAACGGTAGTCTGGTGCTTCTAAGTTTTAAATGGTGGTCATGAATTCAGTATTACACAAAGATTTCAATAAGCATATACTCATAATTATTCCCTTTTTAGTTATTAACTGAAAGTCTCTCATCCAATTTGCCTAATCAACCTAAACCTGGATCAACATCGGACAAAGAAGCCGTACTAAGTAGCTTTTTCAATTCTTTGCTTTCACGAAAAAGTTTAACTGAATCAAACCCAACTAAACCAATCCAATCGACAATGGGAATGACGTCGAATAAAATCAATACACTGAACACTTCATCAACACAAGATAGCGATGTAAGTTATTTTCCCACTTTTTTTCAAAACAACTAAATGTTCTACTGAATCATTCTCATAAATAGCTTCGACATTTTGATTAAACTTTCCCTTGGGTGTTTTATTTTGCTTTTTTTTCTTACCAGACGAAGTCATAGGACAGCGTTGGATAATTTTCGGAGAAAATGGGATAACTATGCGAATTTCATGTTAGGTCAACGGGGTTAAAAGGGTTATGGTTTCTTATTTTGGTTTCTATTATCAACTAAAAGTTACAATTGGCAATTGGATTTTAAAATATCATCGGCACATTTCAAGAAACTGTGATTTTTTTTTGCACATAACCGTTTATTACATTGACCTTAATTTCAAAATCGTAATTAATTCATTTAATTCATAGTAATCTCATTATTGTTTTACCCATAAAATCTGTGCTTTTAGCATAAACCAAAGAATTGTCATGTTTTGGATACTGTAATTCAAAATTACAATAGAGACAAGGCATGTAAACATATTTCATAAGGAACAATAAAATTTATGCTACCATTTATGATTAAACCTCAACAGTTTTACTATTAATGGATGAGATTGTTTGATTCAATGGAATACTTTGAGTAGGGGTTGATCATCATGCTTACTTCTACACAATTCACATTTTACGTAGAGATAATTTAATCAAATTAAAGTGAATGCAATAAACCGTCTTATTCTGTGAAGGGGTAGACAAAGTCACCTTCTTAACAAGATTCATTCTGAACATACCAATAACATTTCAGGACCTACAGATATATGTTAAGGAATATTTGGAAACATTAATGATACAAATATAAATAATGTTTATTGTATGAAGTTTATCAATGTCAAGTAGAGTATGCTTGAAAAGAAATCCTGGAACGGCTTACAATCCAAAACGTTGAATAATTAACTGAAATGTTAAAAACATGGTGATTCAGATAACTTGGTTGAAATAGTTTGATTAAGTGACTTTGGATAAACAATACTTGAGCATTGATATTCAAACGTCGGCTGAATAAAATTACGTTTACAAAAATAACACCCCAATGATGATGATGATGATCGAAGCCATGTTTTTACTGATCATGATTGAGTATGTCACAAATCTAGTTTTAATGCACACACCAAACAATAAGCCGTTAGAACCGCAACAGTGTAAATATGTTTTCTTAAAATAAAATAAAAACAAGATCTATTTTATAACTGATGACTAGTGATTCAAAAAAGATTTAGATTAGGTCATGTTATTCTTCATGATGAAAATTCAATTTCAGTAACGTGTAGGCGCACATTTAAAAATCACATACAAGCAAATTATAAAGAATGAAAATGAACTTTAAAGTTTTTTTAAACAAGAAAAATGAAAAGAAAATCAAATTATACTGAACCAAAATCAATATTATTTCGACGAATAAACGTATACTACTTAGATTATGATTAAGTAGTCTATTTTTATATTCAAAAAAGAAAGAAATTAAGTATTCTCAAGCGCTGAAAAACAAGGTAGGAATGTGTTAAATTTGCCTGTTAAAAATTAATAAGCAAAACAACTATAAGTGAGAAACTAATGCTACCAACAACAACAACAGCAACAACAGTGTCATGAAAACACTGAAAGATATTAGATGAAAAAACGGAAGAAAATAAGGCAAAAATAACCAAAGAAATCAAGTTAAAATAAAGCGTAAAAGCTTCAATAAAAAGTAATTTTTCTAGTCTCACTATTTAATGAAACATAATCAATGAATGTAACTAGTTCAAAGAAATGCTCCATAAGACAAACATCGTGAATAAATAAGAAAGTCAGCAAATTTATTTCTTTTCTCCTTCAGAAGAGTTCTATACTATTCGAATACAAAAACCGAAGATCGAAAAACAAAGAATATAAGCAGAGTAAATGCGTTTAACAAAGAAAAATGGGATAATTATGATCTATTTCATAATTGGGTGGTTTATAGTAAGGATGGAAAGAATCATTTTTGCAAAATGCTAACAAGAAAATGACACTTCAGGAAAACTGATTATGAAACATTTTTCTCTCCTCTATAATTTATCTTATACGGAAATCTTTGAAGATTGTTCATTATCAGAGTTAATTGAATTTGCTGAAGATACTCTACTACTACCACTATTACAACTGTTTGCCGACTCCTGACGCTTAATAGCTAGTTGACGTTCTAATTCGGCTAAAGCAGGTGGAAGAAGATTAACAGCATTTATACCATGACAAAACACACGAGCTGGTCGAACTAATAGACCATGACCAGGACGACATGTGAAATAACGTCGCCCAGCAACACATCCATCATGACGTCCACGTGGTTTACGCAATTCAATACCAAGCCAAATACCTTCAGCAAATGTAATTGGTCCAATGTATCGAACAATACCTATAAATTAAAGAGAATAAAAAGTTAGATGTTGTCCCTAAATAACCGGTAATCAACAATGAATTCATAAGTCATTTGTTCCCGAGGCCCATATGAATGATTTGTTTGGAATTAGGGTTTTCCAACTCCCCTAGGTAGAACTTTCACACACACGAATGTGATATAGGCGCAGGACATTCGATATTTCTCCTCTCGATTTCGTAAACAACACTCCCGACATGAGAAAGCAGTGGTTAGGACTTACCTGGCAATGACGATATAATCGTGGCCATATGAAAGGATTTCGAGAGGGAGAGTAAACGCTCTCCATCCCGGTATTTAACATCCACTTTTCGTATTACCACCAGTAAACACAATAATATCATCTATATTACTGAAATATGTTGAGGGATTTCCACACAGCAAAATTAAGATTGAGAAGTTAATACTAGACGTAGATATATAGAATGTTGAATGTAATTAATAATAAACATAATGTCCATGATTCTTACTAATTATTCTCTTGTCTTAAACAATATCGAACTTGACTTATTTAAGTACTAGTTCACGTTTTCGCACGATATTAGCACAGAAAGATTATACTATGAAAATGCATGGGAGAGTAGTAGTAGATGTAATGACAATATCAATGATAGTAGAAAATATTAAGCATAGACAATAGGATTCAAGAAAAACAAGTGTGAATGTCTGGAATAAAAAAAATGTGAAAAAATTCTCAAAGTCAAGATTTAAGCGGAAGAATGAATGTATCACATCGTCGTCATGATCGATTCTAGACATACCATTATCTGTGTGAATTTAAAACAGTATGTGATTATATCGCTCTTATTGCTTGGTACATCACTTCATTCAAAGAAGTTTTAAAAACAAATAAGCAATAAATCAACTTACCAATTTCTCCAGCACATAAAACTTGCATTCCTTCTGTTAAATAAAACACTGGTTCTTCGACTGACTCAACTGGTACACGTCCAACAGCTTTCAATGCATTGACTAATTCTGTTGGTAGCGGTGGTCGACCAATTACAGCACGTCCAATCATTGGTGATGTGGTACTAGACCATGGTGTGCGACGACAACACCATGATCTACTTGCTACTCCATCAACTTGTTCTGAATGATATGATGTAGTCATCATTGTTGGATTATCTGGTAGTTTATTTAAGTTTGGTGTATTTGGTCTTGTAGGCAATTTCTGTATACGACTAATCGGTGCAAATATTCCATGACCGACAGCACAATCAAAATAACGTATCCCATTGATAGAACCATTATTTTTACCAACAGCTTGTTCTAATTCAATACCATACCAGATACCTGGAGCAAATTGCGTTTGTCCGATAAAACGTAAAACACCTCTACGTTGACCAGCTACTAGTACGCGATCTCCAATTTGAAAATGATGACTTCGACTGATATCCGGTGAACGAACACGTAATCCTAAGATAATTATGAGAGGTGATGGGATAATTTAAGCAAATTATCACGTTATTTACAATTTGAGAAATTTGAAAGGACGAACTGAAATGTTGTATTGTTTCGACTTGTACAGTTGAAGTGAGTGACAAGTTAATAACTGTTATATTGATGTCTATGTCATTGATAATCCAATCGAAGAACTACCATAACTATCATCAAAAAGGTACAAGTATTCATAAACACTTGTCAACGTAAGATACTGAATGTCCGTTGGCCGGATACCATCAACAACAGCCTACTGTAAGACAGAACAAGCCAACTTCTGGACGAAGAGGAAATTAAGAAGACATAGGAAGTGGATAGGACACATTGAGGAAATCATCAAACTATATCATGAAACAAGTCCTAACTTGCAATCCTGAAGATAAACGAAGCTGTACAACCGCAAATATACAGATTTATTTTTACAGGATAATAATAATACTGATAATAAACTTCTGTTAGACATGGTGACAGTGAGGTTAAATAAACAAAGGTATGAAAATATTTAAAACAAGGAAAGTCCAATAATTGTTTGATTATGAATGGCTTACATATTCATCAAAAGATAGTTCAGTATGATAAGATAAAATGTTGAATTTGAGATTAAATGTAATCAGAACGATAGTGAAAACAAAAATAAACCAGTTGGGGGTAGAAGATTTAAGAGGAAGATGGAAGGTGAAGCAGATGGCTGTTAAGGAAGAAGGGTATGGAAAAGAGAAAAAAATTATAAGAAATTAAGATTATGATGGGAGAAGAGGTTGTATCTGTTTCTTATGCACACACAATTCTGGTTTTTCCAGATGTATGACTAATGCTTCGGCAATGCAAAGAAGATGCAGTTTAATTGTCTTTGGAAGACTTCTACTAACATTGTAGATGACTTTGAACGCAGAGACTGTTTTGATTGAATGACCTGTGTTCACAAGGTGTTCAATTATTGAACTTCTTATTAAGCCATTGCCTTCTCTTTTTAACCGTACTTTATCCAAAAGAATTCAAGAACATTGTTCGGTGTGGTTTCCTTGTATAAATATTTTAATACCTTTATTTATATAACCTGACTGTCACCATGTATAACAGAAGTTTATTATCAGTATTATTATTATCGTGTAAAAATAGGTATATATATATACGATTGTACAGCTTTGAAAATGAATTCGCCGAAAAAGGGAGAACTCTTCACTGAACTAATCTTTCTTATTTAATGTCTTAATGGGTGTATTCGGTTGAAGCCTTTATTATCAGCAAAGCAAGATAGTACAAAGCCTTATTGAAATTTATTCAATAAAATATTATAATTAAGCAAAGATGGATAGCGGCTAGCAGTGGAATCCAGGACGCGCGCGCTTCGTCCTATTTGGGACTCGCCAGCTGGATGTACCTGCATCTCAGAGTTGATGTTCACTCTAGGACTCGAACACAGTACCATTCGCTTCAAACGCCATCGGGTTATTCACTTACCTATTGAGTCCTGATAGCCACTTACTTGTGCAATGGGGTGAATTTAAATTCACTTGGTACTGTTTTGCTTGTATCTTCCCAGACTGATCAATTGCAGTCTCAAATCTCAAAGGGAAGATACAAGCAAAACAATACCAAGTGAATATTATAATTAGTTGTATAAATGAATCATCTTTATAAGAACAACAAGTACAAAAAAAGTATTTGGGCGTATCATACCGATTCACCGTTAAATTCTTTATGTAATGACAATGATGTTGATAGTTCCAAGAAACACACAAACAAACATACAAATATGCATAAATTGTAAACTGTACTAAATGAGGTGGTTATTACCAAACCTGATATGAAATATTTATGACTATTTAATGTGTATTACATATATGGTACGAAGTAGAATAAACAGGTGAGTACCTATGCCATTCAATTTGTTAAATGAAAGAAAACTTTTTCATTCATTGTTTTAAATCCCATCATATCAAAGCATGGGCCGTCGACCGGGAATTAACAAAACTACTCTGTCCCAAGCACTTTATTCCAATTATTGTCAAGTGTTATTCATTCTTTTGATGTCTATCTCCAATTCTTAGCGTAATATGTACTTTGATCTTTCTTTTCTCTCATTACCTTCTGAATTCTATGTTAGGGTTTGTTATTTACTCATAAGTGGTAGTACAATTCGATCATGTAGGATTTAACACTCTTTAGTGGTGTCATAGTTATCTATCAATTAATAAATATATACTGAATTGAAACAGCTATGAAATACCTTCTAGTTTGTAATGGTTATTATGAGACTAAAACTAGTATATGTTGTGAATTATCATCAGGATGAGTTCTGTTATTGGAACTTTAATATTCAACCAGCTTCCAGCTGAAGAGGAAACTAGGAAAAGACGTTGGAAGTGGATAGAAAATACACTGCCATTTTGAACGGTCACATCGTAAAATGCCATTAATAGTACAATACATTAGAGACTAGGATTGAGATGAAAATTTCAGAGTTCTAGTTAGGAGTCGTGTTTAGTGGAGTCCAACCATGTTTGGTATGAGGAAGTCATCCACAAAAGACAATGGGAGAGAGTCATGTATTATTATGGATTGATAGAAGTAAAACTTGTACACCATTGAATATCGGTTTGTTGGTCTATAGCCTAAGCATACGTACGTCAGATCGAAGATCCTCGGGCCCAACTTCTAGCTATGGTTATGAAGGTGTATTACTGAGTAGTATCATATGAGGAAAAATCGGATAACCAGCTCTTTATGGTTGTCAATGGTTGTTGTGATTTAAAATAAATATAATTAAGTAATGATACATAGAATTCATTTCTTATTAACTTTTCACTTACCAGTATCAATTTTTGCTGTAACATGTGAAAAATTACCAGGTGATTGTATAGTTGACGGTGGTGTTGGTGTACGACTTAATTGTGATGATACAGTTGTCGGATGTTTACGATGATCTATTAGTGAAGTATCTGTTGACACCGGTATTGATGTTATTGTTGTTGAACTAATCGCATAACTGGATCTTGATGAAGGTAAACGTTTTTTAGGTGTATTATTACCACTTGTACTACCACTACTATTACTACTACTATTACTACGATTGTCTTCTTTTAAATTGTTCAACTTCTTAGAAGTAATTGATGTATTCAATGAATTATTAGAACGTCTATTAACAATAGTAGAATTAGTAGTATTGGTAGATGAAGTAACTGGATGCCAATTTTGTTTACCATCAATATTTACAGTTTTATAAACTCGTCCAATTGGAGCAAATATACCATGTTGATTAGGACAAGAGAAATATTGAATCTATGTATAGTGAATTCAAGAAAGAAAAAGGAGACATTTGATATAATTTTAGAACAAAACAAAATACGGAACTATGTGATTTGATTGAAATCATGAACCAATTCTAAGTTAGACCACCACCATTGAAAAACTGGAAGCACTGGTGGTTTAACTTAGATCAGTTTATGATTTTAATGGAATTAAATAATTTCTATAGACCCACATTGAATATGTAATTCGATTGGTTGACATTTGTTGAATGATAGGAAGCAATTAATTTTCATGGAATAATAATCTAGATTGAGTCTTTTGAAAGATCCCAATTACTGATAGTGTAGTTATTTTGTATATGTGTAACAGTAAATTAGTGATTAAAGCAGAAACATACACTATATTTATATGTAAAAACTGAGCTAAGGAACCAAGCTAAATTAGATAACCATTGAAGATTTGAAAGCACTTAATGACCATTTAGCATTCGTACAGAAATATGTGTAATTTTGAACAAAACAAGAATTGAGCTACATAGTTTATTAAATAGGAAACAAAATCAAATAAAAAATCAGCCAATTGTATAGTACCTGGCCCCTAAATGCCCTAGTAGGACCGAGAGTGAGAAGAGTCAACTCTTCCTCTCGAAATGCTCTCATATGAACACGTGCATACAACCACTGCCAGAAAATTCCTTCTCGTGGCAGGGGTGTTGTTTCAAAATTGAGAGAACGAAAAGCGTATGTCCGGCGCTTTAACAGAGTTGGTGGACACAAAGAGTCTACTTAGGGGAACCGGAAAACCCTGATTCTAAACCAATTTTGCACATGGGATCTAGGGTTCTAAAGGAACAAAAGGCATATGAACCAACTATTAGTCACCAGCCACTATGAGAATGCATCTCCTTACGTTTGCTCCACTGAGTTGTGGACCGGAATTTTAGGTTAAAGGCTCGAGGTGTGGTTCACCAAAGAAACCACCTGCTTCGATTTGAAAAGCCATACAGTATTCTAGCCCTCACTTAAATCGAATGATTTATGTGGCGCATATCTATTTGGTGTCTTCTTCTACCTATGTTTATGTGCTTAAGTAAGTAAATAAGTAATAATAACTGAATACACACTAGGTTTAGCTAAGTTAAATAACTTTTGATAGGTAAGATATTTGGCTCTTTTTGATCGAATTTACATTTCTAATTATAAACTGATCGCCAGGGAAGTAGTACTGATGCTTGGACCAGTTGGAAAAAGCGTAGACGTGGTCATTGTATGACATGTTGTCATAGTATGAAATAAATTTGTACAGGATTCACTTCTGTTGATCCTTCACGACTCCCTAGTTGTGATCCTAGAGATAGTGCAACACAGAGGCTAGAGATGTTATCAGATATGACTCAGAATAGAAGCCAATGACGATCTTGCTGTAACTTTCTTCATAGAAATGAAGCTACCTTCTTTAACTGAAAGAAATGTCTTTGGTTATATTTTTGCTAACTAAACTATTTCATGCTCATACAGTAATTTCTTCTTCTTTACACAATCCTTACTTTGCATTCTCCATCTCTTCACAACTTTATTGTTATTGTTTAGCGCATATATGTTTGGTGTCCCCTTGTACCAATGTTTGTGTTCAAATAAATAAATAATATAAAGAAACCCAGATGAGACTGACAAGAAATGATTTTAAAGGGTGAAACAATGGGACAGTAGGAATGATTGACTTCTAGTCACTTCCAGGGACATTTTGAAAGATGAAAACCAAAATAGAACATGTATATTGATAATAACAGGAAGTATCATGAAAGGGATAAGATTAATGCAGCATAAATTTTGTAAAAAAAAGGTTGGGTAGAAAATCTGCATAACAATAAGTGATTTTCCACTTACATTTCGTAAATCAACTCGGTTATAGATGGATTCAAGATACATAAAAGAATCTGCCGAAGACAATTTTACTTGTTATGATAAGGAAATCACTAAACAAACCGTAAACGAATCTATCTGACCTATTTGTTGTGCAGTTTGGTGCAAACTACTTAATTGGGGTTATAGTGATTATTACAACCTATAATTGCAGAGATTAAGTGTAACGGAATAGTATTAGTCGAATTAGCTCAGATGCATTCACTCATTGATTCGTTTTTACTCTTAGGTCTGAAAATGATCTTCTACACTATTTATTCTACAAATTCATTGTCTAAATTCGGTGTGAAATTTCACAAAGAACGATTTTCAGGATGTTTTCACTGATTCAGTGGAAATATTTTCGACACTCACTGGTAGTGTGATGTGTTCTACTGATATCTACAGATATAAGTAGTATGTCACATCAATGGAAAGTGAAATGTCTGGCGACAGAATATCAAGGTAAAGAGAACGAGAACAAGGAGTGATTGGTGCGGATACAAAATAACAATGAAGTCTGAGACGATTGACTGATAATTGCAAAAGAAACAGTCAAGTCGGAGACAATTGACTGACAATTTGCAAATTAAGTATTTACTGTATGATTCCCAGCTTTTACTAAGATATCTGTAATGTTGTGTTGCAACATATTTCACTGTCCCCAATTGTGTTCACGTCCACTACAGTAGTATTCAATGTTCAAAAACATTTTGATGTATTTTACTAAAAACAGAGACCAAGTGAACATTAGGAAAAAGAAAAAAACTACCTAAATAAAAAATAGAAACATTTTTTGTTATTTAGAACAGGGAAAAAAAGAAGAAAACACTCACTCCTGCTACACTACCATTATTTCTACCAACTGGTTCATCTAACTCCACACCAACCCATATACCGGAACCAAATGAAACTGATCCACAATAACGTAGTTTACCAATTCTACCAGAAACACCTGTCGTTGTTAACGGTGACTGATTCTTACCACTGATGGGTATAGCTGATGATGATGATGATGATGATGGTGTGGAATTACCTGGTGCAATACAAACACGATCGCCTAAAGCTAAACCCATAGATTGTAGAGTGACTTTTGCAGAGACGGTAAATTTCTTTGATTGACTTGTTGTAGGACTTTTCGTATCATTATTAATATTTGGTTGTTGTTGAATATTGGTTGGTGAACGTTTAGTACGAGGTGATAAAAAACCAGATTCAGCTGTGTGCATGGATTATAACCAATAAACAGGAAATATGATATCTCATTTCAAATAAATATTGTCAATCGTTTTATCATGAGAAACAAGATTTACATAAACGGATTTTCACAAAATACCTTTGATTAATGCAATACGATTATTGATTACAGACTGACTGGGATAGACTGGAATATTATAGGAAAACAATCCAGTGCAACATGGTTGTTGTTTCATTCTATTTTCCGACTCTTGAAAACAAAGTGGAGTCATAACGATTCCTCAAGTCTTAATATAAAGACGGGACATTTATATCAGGTGCAGAAAAATAATTCTTAGACTGTTGTCTACTTCTTAAAATAGTAGAAATTATAGTTAGTTAAGTCGTAGTGTCAACTCAATTTTTTCGCAGACCATTCACTCTTGATAACAGAATACAACCTCGCTGAAATACGAGCAGGAGTGTATCTATGTACCTTTTTCAGTCAGTCAGAATCAGGAAAAAATCGAGTAACGTTTTGATCAAGTCTACTGTTCTCATTGTTCTTCTCTAAGCTTTCCAAACTATCAGGTCAATGATACAATAGTTTTTTCTCTGCCCCCAAGGTCGTTCAGTAATAATCGAACTAGCGTATTTGTCGGTCTCAAATCTAGATCGAATAGCCTACCGTACCAAAACCCCAAACTAAATTGAGACAATTTTTAGATGAAACCTGCCAAATTTTCGTGTCAGTAAATCCAGTCATATCCTCAAAATCTTCTGAAGAAACACATCATCAAACAAACAACTTGCTAAGAAGGCATCATAACAACATTGGTTTCGTGAAGCATGGGAATTCTTGAAAATATACCCGTTTAAAAATGACAAGTGCCACCACCATCATGCGATTAGCCAAAATGGTCATTAACTATCAAAGACATACCAGCCAAATTTTAGCAGCGTTCACAAAACAAGTCAAAAGTAACTCGTAAGGATTATTTTCAGAGTACTAGGAAGTATGTTGACATAAAAATGAATGGTAAACTTGTTTGTCTTTAGTTAGATACACCATACGACATTAAAATGATTTCCAACCAACAAGTAGTGCTTGTTATGATGCCCAGACACTCAAATCATCCATGATGATATAAAACAGAAGAAAGAAAGTATTAATTGTTAGTATGAATTAGCAAGGTACCTTTTTAGCAAAAATACCTTTTTCCATCCAGATCGACAAGTAAATCTTCCTGTATTGGTAGTAGAAAAGTATGGTCTCTTAGAGAATTATTCAGACTAGTGAAGAAGTAAACACAGATGTGAACAGATAGTAGGACAAGCATTTACACTGATCCCTATATTATGTCTCTCAAATCGCGTTGATCTGATTAGAGGTTTTCTGATGTTACGTGAGAAATTTTGTTACAAAGGGATGTTTTTTCTTTGTAAACTAATTTGCAGTTTTCACGAACGACGAAGTACTACATATTTTTTGGCTTCTTCTGTGAATGGAAAACTATTTACTTTTATCAAGAACGGACCTCTTTTCTAATATTACGACATTGGGGACGTATATTGCGTTCGAAGTGCTGTTGTTACATAGTATATGTAAGTAACTAATAGATACTTCGTTCACCGTCTAACCCACTATAGATAAGATACACTTGACGTATAAATAAGTAGAAATTTTTAGTCAGTGACTAGAAACTTTGACTGACTTAGTACAGGATAGTTCATAATGATCCACGACACTCTCACTTTTCATCTTACTCCCTCGATCTTCAGGTTCAGAATTCTTTCATAAACACTTTCCCGATACGTGTTTGGTTTTTCTAACACTATTTTCTAAATTTAGTCTCACTTTTTATCATCGTTAATACATTTCCAATGTACATCTGTCCTAAGCTTTATTTTAAAAATCCCCGTTTGTCTGCAATTTCAGTAGAATTCACTGAATAGACGATAATTTACTATAATATAATATCATTAAATCTCCGAGACTGTAGATTAGAGATTAACATACTGACGTTTGAAACAAAAGAAGTTGGATTACAGACTGTGTCAACATCAATTCTGAGAAGTACATACTTTCAGATGATAAGTTCCAAGTAAGACAAAACCAACGTCCTGGATCCCTACTGAAAGCCATAATTCATCTATACTAAGAGAATATCTATAACACAATGACTGTATAGAGGTGATCTGCATAAGATACATAGATATGTCAGTGAAGTGAGATCGGAATTCAGTCTTGAATATCAACAACAGCATAAGTTCAGCTATTACCAATTACGGTATGTATACAGGTAATGTAGAGATTTACTATAATTTAACAATAATGTCAAAGACTTATCATAACTAAACAGGTATTGGATTGTAGTTTTATACTTAACAGTACAATGTGTATTCTTACAATCCACACATGAAATCAAACACAGGATATTCAACTTACAAAAACAGAATTCAAAACTAGGCGGCGTTTAAGAGAAACCATTTCTAACATTTTTCTCTTTTCCTATCATGATTATATTCGTTAGATTTCTTTCCATCAAAACCATAATAATGTTTTCTTAAAACAATCAAATGTTATTCATGTCAGTACCATCTCTTCTTTCGGTGGGGGGGGGGAAAGGGAAGAAAGATGATATGGGAATTGTTTCTTATTATATTAAAGCAAAATACTTACCAACTAACCAATCAACTCCACTACATGTAGATTGTTGTGAATGAGAATTCTCAGTTGGTAAACTTTGATTATTCACATAATTGTTAGTAATATGTTCATTTCGATAATTTGTTGAATAATCATTTGAAGTGGCTTGAATAATTCTTTTTTCAATGTCAATATCTTCCTAAAACAATAATAATAACAACAAGAACGAGGTCAATAATCTTAGATACTGTGTAGACATTAATTGAAATGTTTCATTATTGAACGTTATCTTATGAATTATACTTTGATGATTATTGTTCGCTGGTTTAAAATTAGGTGGTAAGAAAGTCAAATATGGTCAAATCAAGATAAGTATCAGAAGGGGTTTCGTGGAGATTGTACTGATTTCAATAGTTGAGATCATGAGTCAATTGAAACTAGACCAACATGGAAAACCTGGAAGCACTGCACGGCCGTTTCTCCCCATCACGGGACTCCTCAGCAGTGCGCATCCACGAGGAATCCCACAATAGGACGAAACGGCTGTCCAGTGCTTCCAGGTTTTCCATGGTTGTCTAGCTTCAATTGACTCATGATCTGAACTGTTGAAATCAAGATAAAGTATCAATTTATAACGTTATCGGACGATTAATCTGAAATAGACTGATGAATCCAGACTAACTGTTTGAGATCTGAACACGATACAAAATCATTTACAACGGTATAAATGTATCCAATTTTTACCTTGCTATTCATCATAAATTTTTAATGACCTCTTTTGGAGATAGCAGATCCCCAGAAATCACTTGGTAAATGTCTTATTTTTGTAATTTTATTTTAAAGTTTTAAATTCCCTATTTTCGCTAGAAAAAAAGCGCCCATTTTTACCTTCAGATTGTATTTTCCACTTGGAAGGACCTTCCTCTTTTAATACGCTATTTTGTGACGTTTCCCAAGGACATTTTCATACTATATGTATACGCATGAGTTGTGTGCTTGTTTATTCATGCGTCCGGGGTGATTTTGGAATATACATTTCCCTCGACTAAATCTGGTCATCTGCCTCTAGTTAGCAAAGTTAAGAAGTAGTGGAATAATTTAGCTTGTTCTGTTGTTGAGTTGCTGACCTTGGTTCCATTCGCCGGTTTTAGGTGATATCGTAATTTCTTCAAATGTAGCATCCTCACAAACATACCTTCTCATTTATTCATTTTGATCAATGTGCGCAATGTTTAATCATTATCGTTGAGAATAAGTCATTTTGATCTGTCTTGGAATTCAGCTTCTTTTATTTATTTTATTGTTCCAATTTACTACAATAAAGTTAAGCTGATAACTATACACCTTATTTCAGGTTCCAAGTTATTGATTACGGAATGATTGATTATGAATTATACGTATTAAGTCTATAATCAAATGGTTACATCACAAGAGAACATTTCATATCTTATTTACTTACAATGAGTTAAGTGTCTTTTACACCACATTTTTTAATTAGCTCATATAAATAAATAATAAACATGATAATGACTAGTCGGTATAAGTAAACATTATGTTTTTATTATGTACGTAGAAGATCATGAGAATAATGTTCTGACTTGAGAACAATCCAGTCTTAATTGATTAGAAGAGAAGTAACGTGAACATGTAGTATGTACATATATATATAAATGTATACTAACGTACAGTTTGTTGTGGAGATGTTGGACGAAGTAATTCAGCCAATAAATCTCGTAGTGTACACAAAGGTTCTGGAAGTTGACCTGAAGGCGGTAGACATTCTGAAATAATAATGATAATAATAATCGACATGGTGTGTGTTTTCCATAATGTGAATTAGAACAAACATATATTAGCGAACAATATTAAATTAGATCGTCATCAGGCTTTATTCTAATGCACAATGGCTCTTTCAGCCAGATGAAGCCGATAGGCTCTTCTGGATAAAAGGCTTACATAGATAAACGACACAAATACAAAGGTTCAATAGTTGTTTTTGCACATTTTTCTTGTCTTTGGTTTTATTACCTGTTTAGTGATTGCTGACCACCGGTGTACCACCTAGCAGTGAATGATTATTCCTTTTCTCGTAGGTAGGATTATTTATTTATTTATATTAACATATACAAGAATGCACCAAATACATATGCGCCACACAAATCTCATTCGATATGAGTGAGGGCTGCGATACTCGACGTAAGGAGATGCAGTTCCATGGTAGCCGGTGATCAATGATTGGTTCATACGCCATTTGTTGCTTTAGGATACCGGAGCCCATGTGCACAATTGGTTTGGAATGACGGTTTTCCACCTCCCCTAGGTGAACTCTCCATGTCTACTAACTCTGTTGAAGCGCCGGACATTCGCTTTCATCTTCTCAATTTCGTAAAAAGCACCCCTACCACGAGAAGGCAGTGTGTAGTGTTATATCCGAGTGGAGATTAAATTACAGGTAACTTCCGAGGACTATTCATGGACTAATATTCTATAAATATTCTTATTGTATAACTATTCAACAATTACATTATGTATATTTATACCTCTCTTATGACAAGCTTTATTTTGGCCTATAATTTATTATTGTACGATTTACGGTTCTTAAGTTATGTTCAGTTTATTAACTACTGCCTCCCACATTCACAGTCACTTCTTGGGCTTATTTGTGTACAAATATTATTTCCTATTTTATGTTACGTTGCGGTCTCTGTGATTGATATATAAACCAAGTATGCCTGAAATAAACGATCTGCTCTGATACGGAAGCTGGTATTGTGTTCTGGACTCAAGTGGAAGGGCTCGTAGGACATAGGACCAATAAGGACGCTAAACTGCCCACACCGGTTGAACGTCATTAGTTGGCCTAGTGTGAAGATTCGTATATGTCGTATTCGGATTGGTAGATAAATCGTGTGATAGAAAAACCATACATTCAAGGTCATAACATGTAGGACTTCCCTGGCAGAGGCTATTTACGCGTGGCCACATGAGAGCCTTTCGAGAGGGAGAGAGAACTCTCCCCACTCTCGACCGTACCAGGGCATTTGGGGGCAGGTAGGATCTTTTAGCACAGTAATATTTATATTCATACAAGAAATTACTAAACCAATTAAGGCAGTTGATAAGTCAGTGACAACAGTGGAATAGATTACATAAATAAACATAATTAGTAAAGAGTACAAATCGGTAGTGTGAGATGACAGGTGTACCAGTTGTGATAAGTATAATAAAAGCTTGAATTCATGCTTCGTAATAGGAAATAGGTCAATGACTTGAAAAATATAGATCTTGAAAGAACATTCATAAAATCCATGATTGGACAATAAAGCATGTACTTATGAAATAAAGTATGGGAAGGGGTAAAGAAAAATAAATGAACAAAGAGTATGGACAATAAAATCGATTTGGCCAAGTAAAAGATAAAGGTGTAACGAATTGCTTATGAATACAAAAATTTGGATAATTAGCTCGAATTTCCATAGCTTTTGCTATATGTAAGAGACGATATTGGACTCTATAAGGGGACCAAGTAGGAATACGATAAATCACTTTAAATGACCTATTTATGTCTACTACATAATCGCTATCGATCAAATATGATATAATAGAGCTATGTATTATTTTGACGATACCCTTTCCCAACTACGAAGGAAGGCGTTCACTAATTCGTTGGCTCAGTTATCTGGTTGCGTGCTGAATATTAGCTTTCTTCACATGAGCAGCTGAATTCGTAGATATGCATAAGCGACTGAGGGATATCAGTTGGATAAGTTAATCACTATCCAATCAATAAAGTTTCGACTGTTAGATTTAATATCTTGGTGATTATATCAAGATCTGATTTATAATATTACCTCTGACAGAACAAAAAGAAACATGAGTAATAACTAGAGTCGAACAGTAACAAGTTCGTATAAGGCAAATTAATCAATGAAGTTGTGTAATTTCACTGATATAAGTAGCTGGATTACGTAGTCTCCGAAACAATTCAAGCTAAAATCATTAATCTTCTTTCGTTGAGACTACTAATCGTTAGTAGGAACAGCTACAAGAGTTTCAAATAAATATGCAAAACCTGCGTCAAAAATTCCGTTTTTCCTTCTCAGCTAAGATTAATTCATTGAAAAAAACACTATTTAAAAGTGAATTATCCTAAAATGTTAGGGAACTGGGAAGCAGCTAGTCACACGCATGAATTCCTCCGAAGATTGTAGTTACCACACACTAACAGTGGTAAATAACAAGAAACCTGGATCCAGTGCTTCCCGCCAATTACTCTTAACTACAGTAATTCATTAATTTTACTGAGTTATCCTTTAAAAATAATAACATTACTTGACTGATTATTACAAGCAAAGATGGATGGTGACCAGCAGTGGGATTCAGGACACGCTTTTCGTCCTATCTAGGACTCGTCAGTTGGATGTACCTGCACCCCACAGTTGATGTTCACTCAAATAATTATAAAAAAATTGTATAAATAAAGAAAATCACAATTATCTCACCATATGGTGTACGTCCATAACCATCTTTTGCATCTTTAGCATCATATCGTTGTCCAGTTTTTGTAACAGAAAAATCAGCTGCTTGTATTAATATACGTGCAGTACCTAATGATAATTGACTAGCAGCTAAATGTAACGGTGTAGAATGATCAATCAAACATGTTCTAGCTGATATACATGCACCACGATTTATTAATAAATCAGCTAATAATGGACAATCAAAATAAGCTGCATAATGTAACGGTGTCATATCAGTCCATTTACAACGAGCTTCGAGATTAGCACCTTCATCTAATAAATAATTAGCAATACTTCAAAAGGAAACAAATAAATAGATAAAATTACAAGTAAACAAAAAAGAGAAAAAAACTATAGAGATAATGAAGATAATATCATACTATCTGAATTAGACCAATACGTAGCTTTATCGACCGAACACAGATAACATCACAAAACCTGGAGGTCTTGATTTCAATTCTTAGTAAAGTCATGCATCTACACAGCTGAATCAATTTGTAACGAATAAAATCTTCAATCTTAATTGCTGGAAATGAGCCCCAACCGGGCTCGATGAACAAAGTGATTCGAAAAGATTAAATAGTTTTGGATAACGTAAGCTTTGACAGAAACATGCATTTATTGAAGTTACCCAATTTCACATTAGTACATCTCAATTGTAGCTACTACCTTGACGCAGTAATCGGTCTTGCATATCGCAATGATTCAATAAGGTAGTATGGGCTAGGACGTTTGCTTTTTAGGACCTGTCATCCCAGGCAGATCATCTGAAGAATAGTGAGGCCAGAAGGAGTAGCTTAAGGTCCAAAGAAGTCATACTGCCGAATTGACTAGAGTGCGACAGTAGATAACCAGCAACTGCAGCGACACTGCCTTCCCGTAACCAGAAGGGAAGGTTAAAAGTTTGGACCTGAAAATGCCACACTCCACCATGCCCCACGGATTCCCATAGCATAAAATAAGATCCTAAATATATGGAGATAACACATCAAAAACTACTCTGAGTACCCAACTTTAAGCAGTTGTTAATTCGACTGTGCAGTCATGCTTACGGTTTGGCGAGACCAGTACTACTAATCCAGTTTGTTTTTCATGACGCACAAAAGGAAATATCCTTCCCAAGTATGTGTAAAATGAATGAATAAAGGAATTACAACTAAGATAGAAAAGACATCAACAATACATGATAACAGTATTAATATAGTTCATATCGATTAACATGAAGAAAATAGGTCGCTTATCGATTTTTCAACAAATCAGCTTACATTCATTAGTTTGTTTGGATTTAAGGAGTCTTAAGGGTATGTAGTTTATTCTTGGCCTTCGTTTATCTATTACAATGTGACAAAAATATGTGTACATAAAAACTGATAGTTTGGTAATTGAATTAAATTATTTATCTCTATGAGTATTTATCATAGAGACAAATCAAAATTCAATATCATAATCATTGAAAAAGTAGTTTTATTGATAAACGGTTAAGTCTTATGATGACTTAACAGTTGCTCTAAAATTCAATCGCAGTCAGAGAAGAATATGATGAAAAGTTTGAAGTGGAATAGCAGATCGTAGATGATGGACTGTGAGACAAACTTAGGGATGTGGAAACCAGTCATTTTTTTTGTCAAATAATAAAGATCGAGGTCCCATTATAAATCGTTTTAATTACTCGAGAATAAACCACACTCTCTTCACATAAGATATATTACTAATGTTAACGTATCGAAGCCAAAATAATTTGTAGGATTTGGATTTGTGATCGTGTGGTTGAAAATTGAAGGACTTCAGCAAGAACCCATTGCTTTGATCAAATTAAATAACAGTAATGTATTATATGGTTAATGGAAATTATCAAGAAGCTCTGGATATATCATTTGCATTAGTTGGTACTCATCAATAAGAAAGATTTACAATCTAAAAGGAATAGATGCTTCCCGTAGGATAGGAACCTATGTGAGTACTAAGGAATACGCAAACATGATATTAGTTGTTACACAGATGTTAGTCAACATAAACATATGAAACCTAAAGGAAATTAGCAACGGTTGAAATAACTGCGTGGTCAAATCTCTGACTGTGCACGAGTTCGAACACATCAGTCCTCCGAAGATATGTCTTATGGACAAGTGCCAAGTCCAGTTGTCTCCAATGTTCACCTAACATGGAGACAAACGGTACACATGATGTTGAATCACTTCGATTGGAGAACAACTTGTTCTGTCTAATCTGATTGAACATAAAGACGAGACTAATATATTTTTAGGTTGCATTCGTCACAGATCGATCTCAGTTGAGATACCAACGAAAACCCGGGAGCATTGAATAAATGTTTGATCCAAATAGTGGACTACTTTGCAGTACGCGTCCACGACGTTACCAAGCATTGGACTTAGAACCTGCATGTTTCATGTCGAAAGCTTAAACATTAAAACCACTGTATTAGTGTCTAATAGCAGACTTACAGCTTTAATTACGTTGCAATATATTGCGACAATCATCTAATACCATTGATGATAATTGTCTCGCCCCTGACGTCTGAACATCAGTAGTGACGATATTTAAAGAGGTTCCGAGGGTACCCATTCTCAAGCAGTCACATACTAAAACGAAACAGACACTCAGTCTTCCCTTCATTTTAATGACAAGTCCACTGAGACTGATATGTAACGAATAATACTTATAAATTGAACTAATTCCCACAACAACCATTCAATTAAAATATAATGTTTGAGGATATTGGATGACATAATCAGTCCATTAATAACATAATATAAACAGGATTTACGTATCTTTTCAATGACACATAAAAACTTACCGACACGAAGCTTGTTCATCGCCTAATGCACCGGATTTTGCAGTAAAATGTAATAAAGTCATGTCACTTAAACCGTCACGATCATCAACATGAGCACCACGTCTAAATATCTGTTGATGGAATTAAATAAAATTGAGTGAAGAAAAGAGACAAATATAGATGTGTGTGTGTGTGAAAGATACAAATAATCAAGATTGATTTATTTTATATTCATGACAAAATTATTTGATTACACAATACCATAACGGCTGACAGTGTGGATGAACAACAAAAAAGAAATGAGATAGTGATTCTGCAAAAAGATGATAGATCATATGCGTAAAATTGACTGCATTAATACTTTGTAAATTTATATTTACGCAATGGTTTTCGCCACTATTTGATTGATTGTTCTCACATTCAGTTTGCAATTTGCCCAAAGAACATGATTTGCTGCTAATACATACAAGAGTTATTCCTACTTGAAATTTAATATATTGACTATCAAGCTTTTTGGATTCCCGGATTACTATGTCTTTTATCGTATTCGTTATTATTATTACAGTGTTATATGGCAAACCCTTAACCAGGTACACATAATTACAATTGACTTTCAGTCAGGGAGTCAGTCATAAGTGATGGGAAATGTGGACTTAAAGCCAAACTGTTAGTGTGAGAGCCAATGATATTACGCAATCCCCTGTATCAAAACAAATGGACCTACAGTTCGAAAAAATAGGAAACTCTGAACATGAGATGAACTATTTGTCAGAGAAATTTATATTATCCAAGAAAAATATTTATTGAACTCAAATACAAGATGTAAATAGCGTATATTTGGGACCGCCAAGTAAGTGATTCCTGCGTTAACGATAAGATGCTAGGTAGGGATGAAGAACCAACTGATGAAGAGAAAAATCCTCATCAACTACGGTGTTTAAGACATGCGTTACGTATGGCAAACTATCGCCTACCTGAACGGACCATGCTGTCTGATATAGGAGTAGACTAAAGGAAAGCTAAGAACGGTCAAACCAACACATCCATGAAAACATTGACTATCGAAATGAGATGTTTAGGAAGATGAAGACAGCCGAGTTGTGGTCCGCAAGATTATTGTAACCACTGGTAAGAGGCTCTGAATGACATGGCTAAAAATCGTTTGTAATGGCGCAGGTGCATTCACTCTATATCTTTCCCCGGACTCTGGGCTTCTGGATTCCTCAATTTTTTTAATTCCACTAGTATTCTTGAACCGCATCCTTGATACACACTATTTTCTGTTACTACCGATACTCATTACATCCGTTACTTTGGAATTTGCCCTGATAATTTCATTTTTCCATGTTAATGGGGTATAATGACTTGAAATGATGTTTCTAAGTATAGGTTCTACGTTGAAACTGACTGAAAAACAAATTTTATAGTCACTTATATATAATGAACGAAATTTATATATCAAGAAAACAGTAATCAATTTATCAACTTCACGTCCCTTCCCAACCAATCAATAAAATCCATCAATGAAACATACCTCTTCAACTATTGTAATTAATTGTAACTGTGCATAAGGTGTCCATTGTCGTAAAATAGCAAATAATTGTGATATAGTTAAATTACTTGATGTCACTGACTCTTGACAATCTTCACACCACCATGGACCAACAGGCATTCGCATAACCCATGATCTTGATTCTTCTTCATCATCATGAATCATTTCTTCAGGTAGATGATTATTATTATCATTATTTACAGGTGATCCAGTCACTGAATCAGATTCTCTTGACATTTCTTCATCCATAGCACGACAATTCTTTAACAATTAAAATGAACAAAGATAGGAATAGGAAAATTGACTGCAATTCAATGACAAGCATAAGGAGTTTGTGAAGATTCCTGAATATTACAGAAAACCAGAAGCACTGAAAAGCTTTCTTATTCTAGTATGGGACCCTGTAGTGTCGGTTATTATGTTAAGCCCATATACCTTATTCTAGCTTTCGGACAGACCATTCTACTTGAAGTACATTTTGACCTTGTTAATTATTCGCTTATCAACCTTGACTGTTTTTGTATGAACCACATATGTGTGTAACCTTATCCCATTCATCATGTATCTGAAGCTTAATTTCGTGTTGATTAAGGCTTGGTTAAATGGAGTTGGCTCATATATCCTCTTCGGTTCTCTGATATTTTGTCTGGATCAAAGATTGTATTAAATATAAGTATTCGTGATTCATTCTCGTATTTGATTTATTAAATTCCGTTGTTGACTAACGCCATTTAAGTAGTTTATTATATACGAGAATAGGTGACCTATGTATTTCGACAGCAATCATTCATACGATCTACTTGGAGTCAGATCCCAGGCCACTAAACTCTACATCTGTGCAAATTTACAACCACATCAAAAATTGAAACCAGCACCTCTAGGTTTCGTAACGAGAGATTACATTTTAGGCCATTCAACAAAGCATTTTGTTCCCGTTAATGGCTCAGAAATAGGATGTTTATGTATGCTATTGTGTTTGTATGTATGACTTTGTTCTCATAGAAATTACAAATACGATATAACTAAGAGATAATCTAATAGCATGTTGTGATATGAATAGATCAATGATAACAAACTCTGATACTAAGAGATTCGAATACGAAGGAGGAGATTAGTTATTCACCTAAGCTTGTACATATGCCGTGTTGATGAGTGAGAACTAGTGTGAAACCTGTGACCAAGATTTTCTGTCGACTGGTATTATTAGCAGGGTAGAATCGGAAATGTTTCATGCACAGATCAGGCACAAATCACAGTAAACTGATTAGTTAGCTTTAAAACAATTAATGTTAGTGTACGAACTGAAAAGATGATAAATTATCTAGTAAAAGCATACTTTAGGGATGAATCAATCAGAATCAAGAACGCTACCTTTGGGATTTTGTGAAAAACGTTCAGAATCAGAGCAAAAAAACATTTTTTGCAACCATAGAGTAAAGATGATAGTGTTAGATATATCAAATGCTTTATTTTGTCCTTTTCGATTGTACATAACAAATGAATTGAAACTATCCCTAAATCCAAACTTTTGGTCCTGAAACAAAGGTAAACCTAGTGGCACTAGATTTAATGAACGAACCAATCATATGGTCTCTTAAGTTTTCCATCTACACTAGATTTCTACATTCTGGCTGATGTTAGTTAGTGATGAAAATTCTAACCCTAAATTCGTAATCTCAACCATAACAAAAAACAATGTGGAGATACTGTAACATTTGTTTGAGCACTTTTGAAAGTTCGAGAATATATGGGCAGTCTACATTTATCTGTTACATCTAGAACATCAACCGCGTACAAATTGAATCCGCCAAGCTACAAGTTAGAAGACAGAAACGTGTCAATCTATTCTCAACTAATCTATCAATCAATTGTAACACACAGATTCTTACATTATTCAAAGTGATGATTTAAATACAGTCACCGTACGAAGAGTTTAAACACATCCTACGTCTACTAAATCTGAACATGAAAAGACAATATTATCGGTCAAATATGAACGTGTAAGTTCATGAATTGAACTGTTGTATTCCAAATAGTAAATCATCATAATAACTTAATGTTTAATTTTGTTTTATCTCTTTTCTCATCTAAATAGGAAACTTCAATATATATTATTTATCAAATATTAATTTCTATGTACTCGGATTTCAGCCATATATTTTGATGTAAGAAGATTTTTGTGTTATCACGTAGCTGCCATAATAAATAATATGGGATTCGAACCAGAAATCTACCAGTTAAACATCACCTGCTTCAAAACGGGTACAAAGTAAGGATATCAAATTAATTGAAGTAGTGATACTTCGTCAGTTGAGATGGCTGGGACACGTGTTATGTATGCCCAAACACCGACTGCTCCCACGTGAGATGTTTCATGGTGTAGGATTAAGTTGGAAGAAAGCTAGAGGCGACAAGACAAAAACATGGCACAAATAAATGAAGTCACTGACAAGTCGACTGAGCCATGTTGGTAGGTGTACACTACCTGGTTGGGATCCACAAGACGACAGCAAACGATGGTTAGAGACCTTGGATGACATGGCTCAAAATCGTTTGTACTGGAGCAGGTGCATACACGTTGCGTTCTCCCAAATTCTAATTTTCTGAATTCTTTATGTCCCATTCTCTTTTTCTCTTCCCAAATTCATTTCACTGGATTATATTTCTGAATAACATCTTCAAACCCTAATCTTTACGATTACTGCTTATACCCTTACTAGCCCTACCACTACGGTATTTGAATTGACAATTTTATCTCTGTTCTAATGCGGTATGGTGACTCGAACTGATGCACGTACGTACAAAGTTCTACATTGTTGACTGACTGATTGCTTCAAAACCGTATAGGCACAGAACAATATGAATGTTATGTAACTTTCGGTTTTTTTCCTCTTGTCTTTTTTCTCTACTGCTTTGCAAAACAATCATATCGTTTATATTATCAAGAAAATAAAAAATCATTATTACATATTACAGTTTTAAATTTCATTGATTCAGTGCTGAACAGACATAAAATCTAATAATAAGCGGAGATGATGGTGGCTAGCAGTGGAATCTAAAACACGCGTTCTGTCCTATCTGGGACTCGTCAGCTGGATGTACCTTCACCCCAGAGTTGTTCACTCTGAAACTCTAGCCCAGTACCGTCCGCTTCAAAAGCCATCGGGTTATTTACTTAGCTACTGAGTCCACAGAGCCACTAGCTTGTATAATGGGGGGGTGAGGTTTAAATCATGGAATGCAGGTACAACTAGCTGACCAGTCCCAAATAAAATGAAACGCACATCCTAGATTCCACGAGTAGCCACCATCCATTTCTGTTTAGAATACCTGAGACTTAAGGCAATATCGAGACAATCCACACAGAATACACATATGCCAATAAGAAACTGATCAATTTCACTTTTAAACATCAATGGGAAGACTCAAACAACCAATACATAAATGAATAAAGTGAAATTTTCAAGGAGAAAAAAATACATCACCATCTATATAGAAGGATTTATAACTAATCGTGAATTAACTTATTCATTCATTTACACTTAAATAAACACACAATTAACACTGTAAACGTTGCATATACATGACAAGTTTTAAATATAGATTAGTAGAGTATTTGACTAAAAAGGACTGAATTATTGAATGGGTAATGTATGCATACGGATATGGACAATTATTAATGTAGAATTCAAATGTTTAGACACATATAATATATAAACTAGTAAAAACTGTAGACAATGTTTATACTGACAGTGACATAGTAAAGGTGAGGAGAAGAAAAAAAAGAAGGTCGATAACAACAAGCAATTTAATGTTAAAGTCAAATCGGTTAACTAGTCGATGAAAACACCAAAGCAAAAAATAAAGTAATTTAAATTATGGATTGGGAAATAGTTGAAAATAAGAGAGAGATAAAGTACCTGGAAACTATTTCGTGGCAACATACCATATTAGTAATACTAAGATTCAGCAATGTGTATTTTAAGGTGACGATTATTCAAATGGTGTTATCGTTTTTAAACATCGGCTTTGGCAGCTTGTATATATCTAAAAAATGTCGGATTAGACGCTTCCATTTCGTGCATGAATCGTTGACGCTAAGACTTGGTGGGAAAAGTGGAGAGATGAAAGATAGCTGTATAGGACTAGAACCTATCAGTCCACCATGATTTCCTATTTAAGGTCCTAGAAATTATGCAAATTAGTGGCTTCAGACTTTACCAGACATAGGACAGAATGGAGTCTTTCATATTCTACATAGAAGGTGACAGAAACTTAACTAATAGACATTCTTTTTGGTCATATCTTTATACTGTACAGTAAACCAGTCCAGTTAGTCAGTCAGCTACAACGTAGGACCAGACACATATGTGCATCGGTCCAGGTTGCCATACCTCATTAGCACAGCAAGATGAACACCGGATTCATAGGAGTGGTTAGGTCAAAGGTTGCAATAAGGATATAGTATAGGAAGAAAGAATTAGTTAGTAGAAATAAAGATATGAAGTGATTTTAGTCTCTTAGTTTAAGGAAAGACAGGGAGTGTATACACCGACGCCATTGTGATCGATTCCGAGCCATGTCCCCAAGAGTCTCCAACCATTGGTTGCGAAAGTCACGCGGACCCCAACCAAGTAGTCTGCATCTACCAACGTGGCTCAAACTAGAAGTTAGTGACTTCAGGCACTGATGCCACGTTTTGGTTTGGCCGCCCCTAACTTAGTAAACCAGTCCACACTTTTTAAATGTACTCCCTATCCTAGCTTTATTTGTTTGGTGCAAACTTTCTTGGTGGCCAACTGTGTGCAGTAAGATAAAAATTAAAACACAGTCGTACCATTCAGGATCTAATTACTCGTGTGTAATCACCCATGATGGAGTCGAATGCAAAACTGACCTAAAAGCAGTGGACAGCTATTTCTTTCTAATATGGACCTCCTCAAAAGTGTTTATTCACGACCCTACCATACGAAGTCGAACCAAAGACCTCAGGTTTGGAGTGCGAATGTCAACTAAAGGAACAGTACCTGTTAGTACTTGATTAATTAGAGTAAAATATGTGCGTCGTATTCTTTATCATTGTCTCCGTATTATTTCAGTGCTAGAAACTTATGTACAGACTGTTTCTCCATATTTAAATCTTTCGCAACCAGCCATAGAGTCACTGAGAAAGAATAAGAAAATACATGCATTTGAGTTCTCAATATTACAAATAGAATGTTGTTTCGCATTTATCTTATCCTTGTAGCCCATATGCTCTTAACTGAAACATCTAGTTAAACTGATAAGAGATCACTTTTCCAATTGGTGATATCTATAAAGGGCCTGTAACAATGAAGTAGTTTCTTTGGATGCTTTTTTTCAGGTTTCATTACAAATTTGGTGTAACTCAATCAGTGTATCTATTAAACACAGTAATATATATATATATATATATATATATATGTAAACTATCACTCACTTCACAAAATGGTATTTCACTTGCTGGATGTACAACTGGTTGACTACGACGAGGTTTGTAAAATAATCTATCGAATCCCTCATCTGACGAATTGATTCCAGCACTATTATTGGAACCATTTGCATGATATCGATTATATGTATTCCTACCGCCTTTTCTTAATAACGACGATGATGATGAACGAGCAACTGTACGTGGTGAAGGGGCACAACTGGTGGATAAGCCAGTAAGACGATTTTGATACTCAAGCTAAAATGAGAATTACAAACAAAATATGTTGTGAGTAATAATAATAATAATAATAACTGAAGTTCGACAATGAAGTAAGCAATCAGATTGCATTATGGCATGTTGTATTGTGATGGGTGATTGTTAGAAGATAATTACCAGAAATTAACGGGTTTACATATAGAGTTTGGTGAAATTCATTTCACTAAATAAACATTCTACAAATTGGAATATTTAATAATAATCGCCAACCTAATGCACGATGTTACGAATGAGATGGTGAAGTATGGAGTAATCTTATGTAAAGATGACAAGATAATTTTATTAACAACGTTTGTGGTGTAGCCAATAAGTTATGAGACTCAACAAAGGGATGTACCATAAAACATAGGAGAGTTCATAAAAGGATAACAGCCAGTCAGTCAGTTACAACGTAGGACCAGACACATGCATCGGTCCAATTTACCACACCTCATTAGCACAGAAAGATGAACACCGGATTCGTAGAGGACGTTAACTCAATGGTGTATTATATAAAGAAAAGATTTTATGTAAGGATATAGTACAGAAAGAAAGAATTAGTTCGTTGAAAGAAAGATATGAAGTGATTTTAATCTCATAGTTTAAGGGAAGACAAAGAGTGTATACACCGACGCCATTGTGATCGATTCTCAGCCATGTCACCAAGAATCTCCAACCATTGATTACGATAGTTGCATGGACTCCAACCAAGTGTTTGTATCTACCAACATGGCTCAGACCAGTAGTTAGTGACTTCAAGCACTAATGCCACGTTTTGGTTTGGCCGTCCCTAACTTTCTTCCAACCATCTCCAACACTGGCCAGTATTGCGCATCGTCATAATCGGTGTTCGGGCATACGTAACACGTGGCCCAACCATCTCAATCGATGAAGATTTACAACCATATCGACTGATTTACGATCATTTCCTAATACCCTGCCTCTAACCTCACTATTACTTACCCGATGATTCCAGCAGATGCGGGCAATATTTTTAAGACACCTGTGGTCAAATAATAGTAGCTTACGAGTATCTTCTACTCTAAATGGCTACATTTCGCAGCTGTAAAGTAAAACAGAGCGAACTGCCGCGCATTATACTCGTTCCTTAATTGACAGATAATCTATGGCTTGAAGTTGATAATATTTAAATGGATAAGGAGTTAACACTAAAACTTCTTATATATCCTCTATTTGTTTAATAAATTTTTTTATGCAGTCAAGTATTGTATTCATGTCGAACCAATTAAATTTAATTGGAATATGAAGGTATTTGTAGAGAATGTTGAAACCTGAAAATTCTTTATATGGTCATCCGAATGAACTATTTAGGAAGAGACGGCTGTATAATTATCTTTGGTTAAAATCATTCAGTAGATTGTTATTAATAACTAAAAATATATTATATCTGACCATTCAATTAAACGTACTAACTGATTGGTGAAGAGATAGATTAACATGAACAATTAATTTAATACAATTAATTTAAAACAAAGACTGAACCTTCAATAATGTAGATGGATCATTATTTCCTTCTATACTTGGAAAAAAAATACTGAAAATATACCTAACGTATAATACCAGTTAGTTAATATAGATGATCATTTGAACTGATGAACAAATCAAACGAATTTAGTTAATATGATTTCAGTAATCACCTCAAAGTCGACTCGTGGTGTATCCTACTTATGTCGATAGATATAAGTAGTATGTAACACTTATCGGAAGTGAAATGCATGGCAGCAGAAGATTACGTAGATCGAAATAAAGAGAAGAGAGAAGAAAACTGAAAGCAATCAAGATAACAACAAAAATGAAGGAACAATGAAACTTGTAAGAGATAATTCAAAGAAGATATGCAAATGGTGTATGATTTTCACATTACAATAAACCATTGCGTGATTATGCACTGAACAATAAATTGGTCTTCCCCACTTGTGTTCGTTTACTACAGACTAAGCTTATAATTTCGAATGTGATAACAAAATACAATGATATTTTCAGTCATATTGTAATAATACGTACTACCCTTAACTAAGGCCATCAGTAAATTACTATGACACATAGGTTAAATACATGAAGCAGTAACTCAGTGAATAAGAGTCTAGACTTTTAGTCACTAAATGACATAAACAAACTCCATTTCTCTTGACATCTGGTTTGAGCAACCGAATAGTATCAATATCACACACGTAAAATGTACCTTAAAGACATGTACACCAACCTGTATCTAGTAGGATCATTAATACAACTTCACGAATCAAGACATTTTGTTACAATTTCAAGAAGACTTACTTTAAAACTGGTGAAATAATTCGAACAATTTTCAACATATGCCTTTTAATTAATAAATAGATTGTAGTTTAAAACACTGTTACACTTATTCTGCAGATTAGACAAACCGAGTAATATATGCGATAACTTTATTATGTAATAAAAGCCGATAAGTGGGTTGCATACATCCAAAAATTGATCTTAGTTGTAGTAACACTGAAAACTAGTGGACACTGAACAGCTGTTGTTTCATTATAGTACAGAACATATCAACAGTGTACATATATGACCTTAGTAATCGAACCTTGTCGAAGAAAGTCTTGCGTTGAACACATTAAAACATACGTGCTAAAGTAAAATGACCACGTGTATGCAATTACTGTCAGGGAAGTCTTACTCATTACCTTCTCGAGGATGGAGTGTTTTACAATATTCACCGGGTTGGTGGATATAGAAAATCTATCTAAGGGACTTGGAATACTCGGATTCCAAACCAATGGTGGCACATGGGATCCAGGATCTTGAGGGAACCAATCATTGGTCACCGGATACCATGGGACTGTATCTTCTAACGCCTTATGGATTAAACCTCTAGATCAAAGGTTCGGGGAGTAGTAGCCCTTTAAGAAAATTATCTTCGATTTGGGCACCCTAGCAGTTTCCCACCCCTCACACAAATAGAATGACGTAGTGTGACCCAAATATATTTGGTGCCCCCCTTGTACCACTCTATTTATGTGTTTAAATAAAAATAAATAAACAAAATTGACAAAATATTAAACGAAATAATAAATCTCACACATACACACACACACAAACACACATTCATACACTACTATTATTACTGTTGACAAGAATACAAAACACTGAGATGATTTTTTTCCAAATACATATATTGTTAAAATGACTATCACATAAATTTGTATTAAAGGCACATTTACATAATTTAATGACGTAGCTTATTACACATGCTACATCATACATATAACAACAACAAAGACAAAAAAATGATTATTTTCAATAAAATTGCCAAAAAAAATAAATGAGAATTAAGTGAAAATTGTGAGAGAAATATTAGTTTATAGGGGGGGGACGGGGAAACCCTCCTTCCCCCCCCACCTCCCTCCTTCATATCCATGAGTTATTTTTTTCTTGTGGTACTTTTGGTTTTGACACTTTGACTTTTTGTTACTTTTTTCTTAAAAAAAGAAAAAATTTTTTTCTTTTTATTCTTGAATTAATTTTAACTTTTCACCAGTACTCAATCGAAGGTTGGAACCATAACGTAAAAAAAATTCATATTTTCCATAGGCATTTAATAAATCTGTAATAAGGACAACCTGAAGTGTTTGAACAAAAAAAAACAAAAAAATGGCGGGAAAAATCTAAAAGTTATTTATAATAGTAAAAAAAAATAAGTTATGGTTAGCAGTAGAATATCAAATGTGCATTTTATCTTATTTGAGAAATGTTTATACATTTTAGTGTTTATAACTACATTGGGACTTGAACCCAATTATCTTTCAGTTCAAATGTCCAACGTACATATCCATTAAGCTACGGGATCCATTGAGTTAATAACATATTTAATGAATATGATATTTATATCATAAATAATAAGTGTTTCATTTATCCAGTTATAAGTATTCTCCATTGAATTTTAATCAGTCATTGTGTTTGAATCCCAATGTTAACATTAATATTACAATCCAGTTAAGTTCATGAAATTGACGAATTCGAAACAGGACAATAAGCGTGTCTTGGTTTCCACAACTACCATTAATCTATTGATTCCACAGATTAGTTGAGTAGGTCAATTTCTGATAATTTTTCACAGATTGAAACCATGAGTCAGTTGAAGCTAGGACGAAACGGCCGTCCAGTGCTTCCAGGTTTTCAATGGTGGTCTAGCTTCAACTGACTCATGATTTCAATCTGTGAAAAAAAATTTCTAAAAATCTCCACAAACCCCTTCTCATAATTTCTAATAAGTTTAGATTTGACTATAACATCTAATCTAGCCAAGTTCCTCGACTTAATATGTGTGCATTTGACATGTCAGATTATGCGTTAAAATTTCTTTGTAGATTTTTGTGCCATCTTTCTGTGAATTCTTCATCGCTATAAAGTATAAACCGATTGTGTTAATGTTGGATTCATATCATTTTCACTTTTCTGTTTTGTACAGAATTAATGTATGGACATTAGGTCTTAGGGAGTCAGGATGAAAACCTGAAAGTAGGTAACACGCTAGTTGATCCTCATCAGAAGAGCTCATTAGTAGTCTTGGGAAAACTGATGGTCCTTGCGAGATTCGAACTGGCACCGAACAGCTTTACAGTACTGAGCCATTAGGGACCCAATTAACTTCCACTAGCATTGAGATATTTACAACTGATCGATTACTCAATAGTGCTCAACGTCAAATTTGTGTGGTTCATTAGTGCCAACTGGATTTTGCCGATACAGTTGCAATACAGCTACTAGTCAAACTGACGCAACTAGCACTAAACGGCTAGAGAAACATGATATTGTTTAATATTAGCTGATCAGTTAAGTTTGAAATGATCTGATTGGTTTTTCACTTACCTGTCCAAATGCATGCACCAACGATGCAGCGAAATAGAAATTCGCATTTCCAGTACCCGGTTGCAACCAAATATAATGAAATAATGGACTAAGAAACAATGCAGTCAACAAGCAACACGCCGAAATAAACATCATTCGAGTTTCTGTATAAGAAAAATATAGTAAGCAAAGAAGGAGAAAGTTGTGAAAACAGAGAATGACAAACGTTTCTGAAGATAATACAAGTTGAA